TATCTTATTTTTTTTTTATCATGAAAAAATTTTAAGTTTGTAATTGTATTATTCTGTATTAAATCATTTAAGATAAAATTATATGTCATACATATATGAATTTTATTCTTAAAATAAATTTAGAACCTTTATTTTTTTTTTAATTATTAACGATGCAATCTAGCCGCAGTATTTTATTTGTATTGTAAATTGAAGAAAAAATCTAAAAAAATACCAAAATAAGTAACTTACCCCCTGTGGTTCTTTTTCAAACTTGTTTGAGTCGACTGATCACCTTGGAAACTTTATTTTTCCATTCTACTTGATCAGAATAGTAATAGTGATACATCATAATGCATAAGAATGTTCAAAAAACATGTTAGCCCCAAAATTAATTTATAGCAGAATACCATTTATTGATATGTTTGCTTGTTTGCTCAGGAGTTAATAATTTTCAACCAAAGCATTATAACATTTGCCAGCCAAATATTTAGTCAACAAAGTGTAAGCAAAGTAAAAAATCCATATATACATGAACCCAATGCTCTTGTAAATGCATGCTTTTATTTTGAATATAAAAATTTTAGCATTAGGATATGTTGCATATTCTTCTGCTTCAATATCATGAGAAAATGGAAATTATAAAGCATATAAAAGAGCAGTATAATGAAAATTAGAATATTGTCACTATATAGTGATTTATTTTATTTTAAATCGTGAAATATAAATATAAAAATATAAAAAAATTATATTTTTATAAGTAAATTGCCAAGATTAAAATTTTAATTCTGACACAACTAGTGATTCAATCTCCATAATATTTGGTATATAGAATCTTCAAATATATACCTATAATATATATAAACCGCATTATCATAGCTTCTCTGATTAAGGTTTTTTTATAATGCTTAAAATTCATTAAATTTAACAATTGATATTTATAAAAATGAGCAAAAGAAATGCAACCCCATAACAACAATTCATTATAAATCATTTTTTAATTGGCTCAATTAATTATTCTTATATTTTATTTGGATTTTCACACAAATTGTATCTCATTTCCTTTTTTAAATTTAATTTTTCCTAAAAAAAAAAACTATAACTATGTCTAAAATGTCACAATGTCAAAGTCTTACATTTTGCCTTTTTTACAAATGGTTCAACTTAGTGAAGAGCAGAGAATTCATATATGCACTTTATTAGATGAAGCAGTTTACACACAACCCGAACTTGCTGCACAATATAAAGTTAATAAAAGTACAATACTTCAGCTTTATAATAATATAAAGAAACAAAAAGTACTAAAGACTTACCAAAGTCAGATCATCCTCATATTTTAACAAATCGAAAAGTATGCAAAACAGTTCATTATATTGTTAGTGAAGAGGTTTCAACTGCGGTTCAAGTTCAAAAGAAGCTTATTTCTAATTATAAGCTTGAAGTTTCTTCAATAACTATTCGACGAGTATTTAAAGATAATAGTTTTAAATCAGCAGTCAAGGCAAAAAACCATTGTTATTATCTCAACATAAAAAAGCGTATTTTGAATTTGCTAAGAAATATAGTGTATGATACCATAAGACATCCAATAAAATTGATGATCTTTAAATGTTAATAAAAAAATATTGAGAGATTATTTTTTAAAAAAAATTAACGTTAATTAATACTTCTTAGTGAACTCTATTCAATCACGTTGAGATAATTAAAATCGAATCATCACATCCAAAGTTATAAACTTTTAAAATATGAAACTTTATTACAATTTGGCCCTATAATTTTAACCTGAATTATAGAACTTCAGCCAGAATTACATTTGTGTAATATAGTAAATTTTATATAAAATATTGTAATACATGTAAATCTGATTCGTCAAAAATGCCAAAAGTAAAAAAAAGGGTTTTACATTTGCGAAAAATAGCAAAAATTTCAAAATAGCAAAAGGTATGTTAAATAAATAAAAAAAAAAATTTTTTTATATTATAATTTTAATTTTTTTTTAGTTTTTTGAAAATAGAGATAATAATAAAGAATATAATTCTTCTGATAATGAAGATTTAGATATGGGATTCGAATGGGAAGATGGATATTTTGATAAAGAAGAAAGTTTATTTCAAACTCTAGTTGACAATATGAAAAATTTTATACCATCTAAGTGACCACTTACGTATCATAGAAATTCTGCCAGAACTAAAAGAAGGAAGAAGAAGTTTATACATGAAGCTATCAAGGATAATGGTCAAACAATAGATAAGTTTTTCACAATAAATAAAGAAAAAATTGATGATGAAAAGAAAAATAATAATGAAAGAGATGAAATAAATTATAGTAAAAGAGAAGAAGGAAATGATGATGAAGGAGAAGAAAGGAATGATAATGGAGAAGTAAGAAATGATAATGAAGGAAAAGAAGAAAATGATGATGAAAGAGTAAGGAATGATGAATCAAACAATCAATTACTTGATGAATATATTATGAAGATTAAAAATAAATTTAAAACTAACAAAAAAATAACACCAGGTCAAAGCGTTCGATTTAAAGCAGTTCAATACTTTTTTCAATTACAAAAATCTGGTCATCGTAAATTGGAATCTGCTTGAATTGTTGCATAATTACTAAATCATGGAGAATGGTTTTCAAAATGTGTTCAGACTTAGGCTAAATCATATGTATTATATAATAATATTCCACAAATTGGTCATGATAAATATCCAGGAAAAAGTTTACTTGAAGATAAAAATGTTTGGCTTAAAGTTTCATCATATTTACGAAATGTAAAACATAATATAACAATTCAGAATTTTTGTGATTATATATCATCAGATATATATTACTTGGAATTGAAACAAAAGCAACAATAAGGTAAAAAATTAAATATTTACTTTTATACTTTTAAATAATATTTAATAATAATAATAATTTTAGTAATTTTATATTAAGCACTCGAACAGCAAATAAATAGTTGAAAAAAATGGGGTTTATTTATGACAGATACCAAAAAGGAATATATGTAGACAGACATGAAAGACCAGATGTAGTTGAATATCGAAAACAATTTCTTGAAGAAATTAGCATGTAAGTTTATCTAAAAATAATGAATTTAAATAAATTTAATTAATTAATTTAAATTTATATAATATTA